ACTGCGAGATGAAAATCGCCCGAATGCGGCTCTCAGCCAACATGGCGACGACCTAACGAGAGGCGAGCACGCCGAGACGAGAGGGAACGCTGCTCTGTGTCCTCCGCTGCGAAATGTGGGAGAATTCTTCGATTAATCCCTTAGTTATTAAGGATGAAAATATTCACATTCTAAAAAATAAAAAAAAGAAAAAATATAAAATAACGGAACAACTGGATCAGTACACTATATTGTTATACAGTTTAAGCCACTTTTCTTCCCACTGATATTCCGTCATTAACAGCTAAAGGATCAAGGGATACAGAATATCCTTCACCCTGCGAGAATACTACGTGAATAGAGAAAATCTGAAATAATCGACTGATAACGAGCTCGTCGAAGAGAAAGCACGTGAAAAATCCTTGAACCAGATTTTTTCTCGCCGGCTCTTTGCGTAACTCGATTATCTTAGCTTAGGCTTTTGCAGGATTTAGCGGGATTCGTCGCGATAATTAACGGGCCGGGAGCAGAGGGGCACAAGTAACATATATCACACATCCGCGGGTTTCCGGAAAATCAGAAATGCGAGCACACATTCGCTAGCCAACGTTCATCTGCGAAAATCGCCCGCGCCGCAAAGCAAGCTCTGTGTCTTTTTGATGATGTAAAACAAACTCGATGTATAATTTATTTAATTACTCATCTGTTTTCGTGGATATGGAGTGAAAATCTGCCGCCGTCACACGCAGGTGACAGGAGGTCGCGTCGGTCTTCTCTCGCGAGAGAACCGATGCGTGTCACACACGCGTGTGACTCGTGCAGCACGAACGTGTGGAGCGGTTCAGATGACTCGTTGCTGAAAATTGCGGGTCGTCAGGTGCGTTGTGACCGCGAGGCAGGCAGAGGGACGCGTTCTCGTCATCGACGATGCGTCGAAAGCTGCGAGTTTCCGCTCAATCAAGCCGAACGGCGCGGATAATCCACGCGCGAGTCGGCGGCTTTTGCTTTCGGGCTCGCTGATGAAACGCTAATTTACATCCGGCCAGATTCACGCTGACGGCGCGTTTCCTCCGGCCGTTGCGAGAAACTTACCTTATGCCGCACCGCGAACAGGGTGCCCGCCACGGCACGATGCGATGCGGTCCAGGCGCACTGAATCGAGAGCTTGCGTCAGCTTCGTCCCCTCCGCCGGTTAGTTTCCGGTTCCGCTTGCCGGTGCGCGAAATATTGCGTCGGCGGAACTGCGAAAATATCGGGAGACGCTGCGGGATCGCGGCCGTGACGGGAGTGGACTCGACGCTCAGCGTTAGCGTTAGCTAGCGACCCTACGTCCTGGAGTTACCGTTAGGCTACCGTCCTTGTTCGAATTGGTTTCTCCTCGAGTCCGCCGCGCTCGTCGGCATCTCCTTTTTCTTCTCTTGCTCTCTCGACGGCGTTAGCGATCTGTAAATTTCAGCCGCTGCCGACTGCGAAGATTCGCCAGGTCGAAATCTGATAATAGACGGAGAATCCTCGACAGCTGCCGGATGAAACCGTACGTGTGCGCGAGAGAATTCAGACAGTTAGAAGACCCCCCCGGAAGTTCTCTTTCTCCTTCTCTCTCTCTCTCTCTCTCTCTCTCTCTCTCTCTCTCTCTCTCTCTCTCTCTCTCTCTCTCTCTCTCTCTCTCTCTCCTTCTTGCTCTCTTTCTCTCTCTCTCTCTCTCTCTCTCTCTCTCCTTCTTTCTCTCCGTTCGTCTGCCTTTTTCTCATCGACGTCGTCGCGATCTGCCGTGGATCCGGCTGAGAGAGAATCTCCCTTGAAATTTCACTTTATCCATCCGATAAACGTGCTGCTGATAAATGCACTTCCGCAGCAGTCAGAAATAAGAACAAAATTGTTTGCTTGCTTGCTTGCTCGCGCGCGCGCGAGATATCGATCTGTGAGACGCTCTCTTTGTCTCTTTCTTCCTCTCCTTCTCTCCCTCCCTCTCTCTCTCTCTCTCTCTCTCTCTCTCTCTCTCTCTCTCTCTCTCGGAGGGAGAAGCAGCCGGTCGCGATGCTGGGTATTCGATGAAATGCAATGTCCCGCTTTTCGCGAAGGAATTCGATCGACATTAATGGACAGCCTCGCGAGAGGCGCCAGGCGTGATCGCGTGAAATCCCAAATAATCGCGCCGCCTCTCCATGCCTCGCAATCAATTATTCGCGAGGGCGCAAACATCCGCGCGAGCGTAAACATCGAGGACGGGGCACGCGCTATATAAAGAAAACAGATCAGCGGGGCATAATATTTGAGCGGCCGGCAATCGAGCGGTGTGGTGCGTTGCTGCGGATCAGCTGCGCGATACGCGAGCGGGCCGAAAATCATTACTTTTCGGCGGGATCGGCCGCGGATCGCCGGGTAATTAGGACCCGACGCAGTCGCGGCTACTTTACAGTCTAATTACCGGCGATCAATCAGCCGGCGATAGCGCCGCGGATATAGTTAATGTGTTCATAAATCAACCCTCCGCCGGTCCGTCGCTTTAGCGCGCAGCCACGGCGAATTATATGCACCGAATTGTGCCATTGTGTGTTGCGCGGAGCCGCGTTATTTACTGCGCTACCCGGTAGATTAGCGTCTGGAATCTCGCGCTGTGCTTATGTCGAATTCGCACGCGTCTTTCTCAGCGGTGTAAAGCGGCCGACCGAAGTTATTACATATTCTCGTCTCGTCACCCGCCGCGTGTGTGTAAAAATATTACGGTAGGGTCAGCGGAAAAAGCGAGTCGCTTCGCCGGGTATTTCATGTTTCATTCATATTTTATTTCGACTTTTTCTCCGCTATCAAAATCAAATGTCTCGTAATGTATAATTTCGTGATGGGTCGTAAATTTTGTCAGCTTCATCTCTTGCCATGCTCTTTTGTATGCATTGACTTGCGGGACAAATCGGCAGAAATAATAACAAGAATAAGCGGCCAGGTACATGTTAGGGTTTCTAGGTAATTTGAGAAATTCCTGGGAAGCCTGGCCGGAATTGACGTTACCGCTGGCACACGTGGCTGCGACACGCTCGATGTAGATGGATTATCGCGCGAATTCCCAGGGTCCAGGGAGTGCGTAAAAATCAAATAAAAAAACCCGCAATTTCTCATCGGAAGCTCTTATACCATCGCTCGGCCGCCGATTACCTTTGCCGAGCGGCCGGCCAAGTACAAGAAGTAAGATGAAATTCAGCGGACGAATCTCTTTCTCCCCCAATTGGCCGCGATCTCAATCGCCCTTCTGTCCCGCGGAAACCGTCGAAAGACGGACGGAAGGAAATTGCCCGTTCACGACGAATGCGATCTTTGACGTAAGCGCGTGACGGCGTTATCGGCGACGGAATGGCCCCGCCATTCGGCCCCGTCGACTTTCCAGAGGATTCCTCCTCTCGTTCAAAAGAATTCGCGGCATGACGACGTCAGGCCTCTTGGCCTTTGCCAGTCTTCGACTCATGACCGAAGAATCGGCTCGATCCCGCGCGACGAACGGGCGTTATTCCGCTCGGCGAGGCTCGCTCCCTGCGAATAGGTTTCCGCCCGCGCCCTTTGACGCCGCCGGAAACGATTATCAGCCGTGTGTCGATATAGGCCGCTCGATTTCGTCGATCGACCGGCGGGGGAGGGGGAGTAATCCTCGTTCGGGGGACGCAGTCTTCGGGTACTTCACAATGCTCGTTCTCGAGGAGTTCGCTCGGCTGAGGAGATTTTGTTCTCTTCGTGGTGACTCACGTTGTCTCGAAAAAGAATTAACGAAAAATCATTATCTTTTTTTCTTTTTTTTCTTTTAAGAAAACTGCTGGAAAAAGTGATCATTCTAGGGAAAATTGTTATTACTTTTCAGGAAAAGTATTTTTTACGTTGTCCAATCGTGACGTCGTGATATTATAATTTCGCGGGAAATCGCAGGCGCTCCCCCGGCATTTCGGAGGAGGCCTTTATCTCGGCAGATTATCCTGGATTGTGTATCCGGATTTCGGGAGATGGACCTTTCGGGAAATTGTCCCGCTTTACGGATCTCGAGATTTCGATTCCCCGAGACAATGCGTGCCCACCGGCCCTCGGACGCGGGGCGTTACGACGCGGCGCAGCTGCGGCGATTTTCGCCGAATCGGCGACTCGTGTATTTGCGGAATCGCCTCGGATTTGCGTATAATGTCTCGGAATTTCGATGGGAACCGCGTGAGCGAAACAACGACGATTAATAGGGCGAATCGATAGCCGCATCGATGTAACCAACTGTAGCGAGCGCGGTTCGGCGTGAGAAAATCCCGGCGCGCTGCGACTCTATTTAAAAGCCAGACGAAATTCCCGGCAGTCGCCGGCATATCCCGGACGTGCGGTTTGAAAAGCATTCTTAAGTCCTTCGTGGCAAAAAGACCACGCACCCAGCCGGTGCGCCGTTAACTCGAATTCACCGACTGCATTCTCCCGACCCGGTCGAGGGGGTAGCCGTCCTCTCTCTCTCTCTCTCTCTCTCTCTCTCTCTCTCTCTCTCTCTCTCTCTCTCTCTCTCTCTCTCTCTCTCTCTCCCCCTTTCTCTTTTTCCTGCTACTTTTAAAGCTCATCGATTTATTCGCCGCATAATTCCGCTTAATCCCTCGTTCTCTCGGTAACGAATAAATATTTCTGCACGATTTGAGCGCGTCGAGCGAGCGACGTGCGTCCGCTCGCCTCGTCGGAAATGTCATTACGCTTTATCATATTTAACGACACGCTTGTAAATTTATCGGGGATTAAGAGGGGCTCAAGATTTCTTTACACAACGCGCGTATGACGCATGTGCCGCTCGCGAGAGCGGCGGGGGGAGAGGGTGGGGAGGGAGAGAGAAAGAGGATAATCCGTACGCGCGTTTATTGTTATTAATAAATGTGATTGGCGATTACATTGGCGTGAGCAGCTGTGAGCGATTCAAATGTCGCTGAAATGGGCACGAATTGCTGCTGAGAGTGAAATGATGACACACATCCGAGAATGATATATTTACAGGATATTTATTTTTGTAAATGGACAAAGTATTACAGTTTTGAAACGCTTTTATTTCGAGCAGTATTGTATTATACATCGACTGTTTTTTTTTTTTTTTTTTTTTTTTCGTTTTCTTATATCTCTTTAACGAGCTCCTTAATTACCGACGACGTTAATCATCGAGCGCCGTTCGTTATCATCGTTATCACGCTCGCCACCGTTGTCTGCCGCAGCGTATTGTTGTCTCTCCTTCGGAGCCCCCGCGTTACGTCGCTTACGTCCTACGTGATGTACGGTTCGCCTTAACTCTTTACCGCATTTACCGCGTCTTGTCGTGTACGCCGCGACATCCTAATTCGCTATTTTGTTTTCCCTATAAAAAATAACGACAAAGAGACCTCTCGCATGCCGAACTGCGTAATATTATATATCCGTAGCCGTGCCTATTTCCCTCACAATAATACCGTCTGTCACTTCTTTCTCGAGATTCGGAAAGGTGACGTTCGACCGGCACGACGAGATTTCCCTGCATCCTCGCTCGCGCGCTGCCGCGTGAACGATCCTCGCGCTCGATTTTGCCGAGGAACAACTCCTCTCGCCTTCTGCGGAGACGACACTCGGCGCAATCGCGTCGCTCGCGAAGCCCCGATTTGGCGGCCCTCTCTCTCTCTCTCTCTCTCTCTCTCTCATCGCGCGCGCGATATGTATCCCCGAAAAATTCACCGCGAGGAAGAAAGCGCTTGTATCACTAGTCTCTTACGTCCTGTGTACGCTCTGTTTGTCCAAAATATATATGTATATTTATATATATTATTTTTTTCGCTCGTAAGAAAGATTATAAGCGGTAAAGAGTTAACTTTTGGCAGTCTCCGCGCGGACTGCCGCCCGATACTCGCGCGCTCGCGAGAGAGTAACACTAACGTTAAGTCTAAGATAAAAAGAACCGATAGTTACTGCGATCGTCAACTAACGGAAGGTGGTTACCATCGTTACATCGAGACAAGAAACATCGAGACGCGCCCCGTCTCTCTCCTCTCCGAAGCCTGCGCTTTCTTTTTCTGCATGTGCGTGAGTTTTTCGCTTTCTTTTCTTTTCGCTGCGGCTTCGCACTGTCCTCCCCTTAACGGTTAGCTAAAATTAGAAGTACAATCGTCTATCGTCTAGTAATTGTCACAGTTTCGATATGTAAACCCATCGGATTGTTTATTTACAGTTTCTTCTCGTGTGTGTGTGTGTGTGTGTGTGTGTGTGTGTGTGTGTGTGTGTGTGCGCGCTCGTGTGTGTGTATGTATGATATATCTTTAGAAATATCGTCGTTCTTCGCGCGCGCGGCCGGGGTCGGCCGGGGGAGGGGAGAGGGGGATGGAGGCGCGAGGAACGTCAGCGGAATTTCGCGATTGGATCCGCCGAAATGAGATGAAATCGAATTGGCTTAGCGCGCGCGCGTTATCCGTTAAGTGAATTCCTCCATTAGCGCGCTCGATGCGACGCATCGGCGATGCATGCGCGTGCTTATACCGTAAATAATTAATACCGTAAATATTCGACGCGCAGGCCGAGAATATAATGATCCGTCGGTGACGATGTAAGCCGCCGGAGAGTCTCTGTCGCTGCACGTGTTACCCGCGCGCATTTCAGAATGCGAGAAGTAACAGGGATGAGAATCGTGAAGGAATACGCGACACGACGACGACACGGAGTCATCCTGTCCGCCCTGTCGCCCTTTGAGAAAAAGTCCGCGGTCGCGACTACATTGTACCGTGAGTGGGCGTTTACATTATGACGTGGAGAACGCCAGCAAGCGACCGCAAGAACGTGTGACGACATTTGCTACGGTGTAAAATCGTTTACTTGTACGTATTCAAAAGTCATAGGGGGGGAGGGGGGGAGGGGCTGAACGGCAGCCCTCCAAATCGGCGCCCGTATGCGCCTTAACCAGAAATCGTATCCTTAGGAAGAGCAAGTACGTTAAAGAGAGTCGCTGATGGCACGAGCGCGTTGAAAACTTGGCGAACCCAATCCTGTAACTTTGTTCTGCCGCGCGTGTTTACGCACACGTGTGTGTATGTGTGTGTACGCTGCTCGCGTATTCGCGCACCGATCAGGGATTTACTTCCGCTTACGAGACAGCGAATTGCAGGGAGGAAGAAGGAGGCTCGAATAAGTTTGTACATTTTAATCCCGAAAGTAAGACGCGACGCGCGATGAAGCTCAACAATGAAAAATTAATCCCTCCCCCGACTCGCTCGACGCTCCTTTCACGTAAGTGATCTCGGCTTATCCTTGTTCTCGCAATAAGTGAGAAACGCTGCCGAGTCGACGAGCGAACGAACGATCGTAATAAAGCGACCACGTGGCATCCGACGACGATTATTAATGTAGGATAATATTCTTCCGCGCAAACTGATCCGATTGACACCCCCGTGATTTCGCTCGAGACACACACAGAAGGGTGGATACGCGGCAATCGGTAACTCGTGAAGCCTAGGTAGAGCTCGAGGCCTCGCGAAGCCGAGAGACATGTCCTGTCGCGAGGAGCACGCGCGACGCAGAAAGGATCGTCCCCCGCGGAGGCTCCGGGACCGGAGGATCGCGAAGTCCTCTGACTCTCCTCTGGCAATCCGCGTGAATTCCGCGCCTCTCTCGCTTCATCTACCGCTTCAGCTTCTCGTCGACGCGGGGTTGGACCCGAGCCTCGCGGAGGAGCTCCGCGAGCAACTCCCGAGCCACAAAGCTGAACGACCGAGCTGTCTTCGAGCGAAACAGACAATGAGTTGCAGGGACGAAGAAGAAGGAGGCTTGAATAAGTTTGTACATTTTAATCCCGAAAGTAAGACGCGACGCGTGATGAAGCTCAACTGAAAAATTAATCCCTCCCCCGACTCGCTCAACGCTCCTTTGATCTCGTAAGTGATCTCAGCTTATCCTTGTTCTCTTGTTGTGCAATAAATGAGAAACGTTGCCGAGTCGACGAGCGAACGAACGATCGTAATAAAGCGACCACGTGGCATCCGACGACGATTATTGATGTAGGCTAATATTCTTCCGCGCAAACTGATCCGTCGCGACCCCGTCGTCGTGGTTGTGCTCGCCAGCGGGTCCGCGTACGAGAATGTTCGCGCGCGAATGACAGACAAAGACATGATAATAAAGACGCAGAGGCCGAGGGGATAGAAGTGTGGGAGGGCGGCGGGGGGATAATGGGAGTTTAGTTTGGCGATTAGATTAGTCATGGAACTCGGTGGACCCAACCAGCGAGGGCCGAGCGGCCCTCCTCCTACCCGTAATGGTAGTAGATCTTGTCCTTGCAGTTGCACGTGGCGCCGCAGAACTTCCGGCGCTCGCGGCCCTCCTTGGTGTTCGTCTCGCAGACCCAGGAGTCGAACGTCCTGACCAGCTCGGCGCAGTTCGACCACAGATCGGTGTAGTAGCAGGCGTTCGTGCAGAGCTGCTCCTGCACGCAGTGGTCCTTGCACTCGCTGCAGGGCTTGCCGGCCACGTAGGGCAAGCCCAGGCGGCCCCTGTAGTTGCCACTGCGGAGCAGAAAGCAGAAGCCGGGCTTGTGTGTTGCGTTGCGAACGACGCGAAAGAGGCGAGAGAGTAAGGGCGGGATTACGATGAACTTTACGTAATTAATTGCAATTTCATCGTAACAGCCGCGATTTCATCGGGCGATTTAATTTTATCGCGAACGCGCGCGGCGACAGCGCTGCAAACCCGAGTGTGTTATTTTGACACGTATAAGCTGAAGCTTTCTTCACGCGTCTCTTGTCGTCTGAAATCACGTCGTTCGATGCATTTCGATCATCACTTAACGCGTTTAAACGCGTTAAACGACGTGATTTAGGACGAGAAGAAACGCGTGACGAAAGCTTCAGCTTATACGTGTCAAAATAACACATTCGGGTTTGCAGTGAGGTCGGCCTGGCCCGATCCGACGCGACGCGCGCGTTATTTCGGGCCGTCGTGCGGGCAATAAAAATAGAGATCTTGTATGTCACGTTGCGCGCAAAAAGCGTTTGAATTTAACATCAGCTGGATTAATTTGTTATTCACTTTGTCATTCGCGAGAGAATTTGATCTCTCCGCTTTCTCCCTCTCCTCTCTCTCTCTCTCTCTCTCTCATTGTCTGTTTTTCTTCCCTTTACCCGCTCCACAAGAGAATAAGTTGCGTCCACGACGCCGCATTGCATTTTCGCGCGAAATCTCTCCCCTCGTCGGCCACCGACTTATTCGATTTTCGCTCGACCGCCGCTCTCCCCGGACGCTCCCCGCGAGATAATTGCGCGCCGGGGACTTCTGAGATATACTCCCGTGTAAATACTTTCGGCCGTGCATCCATTAACCACGCGCATTACCGTGAACCCTCTCCGCGGAGCGAGCGCCGTGCGCAATTTGCAAATGGGCCAACGGATTTACATCCAGAGTATTTTTCGGGGACGAGTCGCGCGTCTTAAACGCGCGATCGCACGCGAAAACCAAGAGACGGCGGACGGGGCGGGGGGAGGGGGCGGACTGGGCAAGGAGAGTTTCTCCGGTTGCAAAGGCCCGCGGGCGCCATATATCGTCGCGAAATTAATTACGAGATAGAGCCGCTGTGAAAGAGCGAGGCGAAGATAAAAGGAAGGATAAGGTGGCCCACCGCTGCCGCCACCGCTACACCACGTGACACGGTTTATTTATTCAGGACTCGGGCTACTGATGGCGACTGCGCGCGGCGGCGGGCGCCGGCTTTGCTTTTCGCGCGAAATAGGTCAGGCGTCAAATACACGGTGCGGTAGAATGTGCGCTGCTTAACAAGAAGCACAGATCGATGTACAAAATGGCATATGAAATGATCCCGAAAGCTCCCCCGTCCTCTCGCCCGAGCCGTTAAAATTCTTCCGCGTTTCTGCGATTCCTCAATCGCGAACTCGGCTGGCGAACATTTCCGAGATTTCCAGACGCTGCCGAGCCTTCGTGAGTCTTCTGTCTCTCTCTCTCTCTCTCTCTGTCTTTTTTTTTCTTTCTTTTCTTCTTTCTTTCTTCTCTTCCCTGTGTAAGGACCGTCTTTGCGTCATTTATATTCCTCCCTGCACTTTTTCGGACTTCTCTCGCTCGGGTTAGCAAGATTTTTTGACGTGGGCTCGCTGCGCTGAACATCCTCGCCGGAAATCTCGCGTAAATCCTGCGGTCCGCGGAGGACAACGAGTAACGTTCTGTCATCTGTTTTCGTCCTCGGAGCTTAATTCCCGAGAAGCCCCGTCGGTGCTTCTTGCAGCTCGAAAGCTATCAGTGTGACTCGACCTTTCCGCCGACAAAAATCGACTCCGAATTTGCTGCCGCGCTGTTGTTGTATCTCGTCTTTCCGCGGATTTGCATTTTGTAATTTTTGTCTTTTATTGTCCAATCTTCTTTTTTCGCTCCTCCGAAAGGGCGCAAAGCTTCACGTAGCGGGGAAGCTAATACCGCTGACTACATGTGTGTGTACGCTCACGCCTGCCCATTAATATGTCGCGTTGTAACGCGAATATACGAAGCTACGGGGAACTCATCGCCGATCGTATTAGAACGGATCCCGCGGAAAATTTATCGGGTGTGCGTATTGCCGGGGATCGATATGAGGGATATATAGCCGCGCGCGATTTGTAGGAATCCTTAGTTCGGAACTGGGTCGTCGACATTTTTGTACCAACTGCGGGAGCGATAAATTGCGCGCGGCCGAAGCGCGGATTCTAATTGCGCGAGCTCGCCCGCGCGTGAAATGTCCTCGGGACAATCATTCATTTTGTTGTCACTCACCCTCGAACGGCTCGCTCGAGAGCGCAAGAGTAACCGCGCGAGAATTGTTTGTAATTTTCCCTCGCTCTTCCCTCCTCTCCCTCCCTCCCTCCCACCCTCCTTCTCTCCTTCTCGCTTCGCCGCCGCTCTTTGTATTAATACACCGCGAACGAAATATCTAAAGCGAGCCCGCCGATGGAGAGGGATCAAAATTGTTAAGGCTAGAGCTCTTCTGCACCTCCGAGTTTTGCAATTAGGATAATTCTCCCTTAGGGGAGAGCAGAAACGTGCCAAGTTACGAGCTCGCTTTTAGATCTTGCCGGGAAGATGGATAGCTGTCCGGATAGCGATAGATGTCTAAATTGCGTGATATGCATTTTTACTTGGAGTTACTTCTCAAGATGATCGATGCTATCTCTTTAAAGATCAGCAGCAGCACTTTTCAATCCGTTGTGATGAATATTCCGTCGTGCCGCTGACGATCTTTCTTTCTCGCCCAATTTATACCGTGACACACGGACGGCGTTACACGCGTTTTTCCCTAATTATTAAATCCGCGAGAATCGATCGATTATTCTTCGACGGGGAGAAAGAGCTCGGGAGTATTTCATTTCTTGCTTTATCATGCATCGTGGGCTTTTCACCGAACATCCCGTTTGTGTGTGTGTGTGTGTATATGTGCGTGTGTATCCCATCCGGTAGCCGCGGCACAACGAAAACCATAAGTATACTGAGAAAGTATGCCGTACTGGTGACAAAGAGAGCCGTCTAAGTGCTACAATGGGCATGACAAAGACGAACGAGCCATAACTCCCGCTGACGCTGCATATATTCCGCACCGGTGTCACCATTTTCCTTGTTTTCCTTGCTTACCTTGTTCCTCCTGTTTTCCCCCGAGTGCATGTATATACGTTTCTGTATGGAAGAAAGAGAGAGAGAGAGAGAGAGAGAGAGAGAGAGAGAGAGAGAGAGAGAGAGAGACTACGTATTTGTATGCACACGTGTGAATATCCGTTTGTATGTACCTCTCTCTCTCTCTCTCTCGCTCTCGCTCTCGCTCTCGCTCTCGCTCTCGCTCTCTCTCTCTCTCTCTCTCTCTCGCTCTGTCTCCTTTCTTTCGTTTTCTCTGTGTTCGCGCGTGTCACGTTTCTCACACACGGTATATAAATATAGGATTTACATTATCTCAACGCATCTAGAGGGAGCTTAGGAGCCGTACTAGAGCGTGAACTTGAATACACATTGGTTATTTTCGTTCGTAGAAAAGGTTGCCTGTCAAATTCACACGCCGGGGGTGTCCGTAGCAAGCTCATATCCGCGGCGATCGGTCTCGATGAAAGTAATTCTCCGTGTTACCGTTTCACGGTGCTGCTACTGCCGCTGCTGTTACCATCGCCGCATCGCGCCGAGCCGTGTTATGCGAGACGCTGAAATATAGAAAAATGGGTCGCGGACGACTGTTGTTCCTCTCCGTTCAGTAGCCACCGACATCGTCATATTTCCTCAAACGCGAATCTATTCTCAGCTACCCTTGGCATTAGTGCGCTCGAGGCTAATTGTTGCAACAAAGCAGGGAGGAAAAATAGCGCGTGGATAAATTACGCACTGCGATGAGACACGGGAAAAACCAAGAAACGTGTGTCTCTCGTTATCCTTTCTATGTCAATCGATTGCCAACAGTCGATTGTTGGCGTCCTCAGAACGTCCCGCGAACGTTCTCGTTGACTGAACTTTTCGTGACTGAAGCGACAAATCTCCTACGGCTCGTAAATTAAGCGCTGTCAATTCTCCACATTAGCTCTTAGCAGCGTGGATTATTCCACGGCTCAGTCTCCCTCTCTGGCAATTTCCCGACAGTCTGTAACTTCTCGCGAGGATTCTCGCAAAAGTGGACTCTTTTCAAGGGATAGGAAAATCTCCTGACAGAGATAGACACTGTGTGTGTGTGTATGTGTGTGTGTGTGTCTGCGGCGCGGTATAATTATTTGGGCACTTAAGCAGCGCCCACAGCGTAAGCGGAGGACGGAATCCCTCTTCAAAAATGTGCTCGCCTCTGCCAAGCACTTCCGCGCGAAGAATCGGGAGTACGCGTGCTTTAATCAAGTTCTCCGTCTCTACCTTCCTCCTCTCTATTTTTTTTCTTATTTATTCAGCTCATGTTAATGCTTCGACAATCAGCTTTGACCTTTTTCCCTCTCAGCGCGCAAACCAAGTCGATGTAACCGAGAGCCGCTCTGACGACGACGTGCGCTCTCGCGCGAGCTACTTTCGCCAAGTTTACGGTTAACCGTTTCAATCCGCCGTGCTTCCCTCCAGCAAATTATTGCGTCAATTCCAAGCTAATGAACTAAGTTCTGGCTCAATTGCAATCGCTGTTGCAGAAACAACCGTATATCATAACAGCCGCGTATAGGTAAACGGTACGCATCTCCGCATCAGCGAAAATAATTACACCGTCCGTTACGTCGGCGCGTCTAATCTGTGCAGCGCACAGATATCCGCGCGCACCGTTTGCCGCAATAGCGACAAAGTCTCTCGGCAACGTCTGCCGTCTAGCCGGAATCTGATTACGCTTTATCGTACTCGACGACGTGTACCGGTTGATTTCGCGGGGATGGAAAGGGCTTCTTCGTATTATGCGGCAAGGTTACTCGCCCATAAGTCTACCGCACGGTACATCGTGGATCCTCCCTCGTGGATGAGAGATCCTGCGGAGAAAATTTCGCCCAAAGACCGGCGCGTCGATCGGAATCTTCGCGGCGTCGCGAAAGTTCGGGGGGAACATGGAAACATTACGCATTGCAATTATGTCACAAATGCCCAAACTCGTTTCTGGCGACGCAATTCTTCAGGATTTTTTACTAAATTTCCAAATCTTTTCATACAAATAGAATCCCAAATTCTATATCCAAGAAACAAGTATTCTGTTTGTAAAGTAATTTTTCCCATAGTCTCATATTTCTAAACGAAGCCTTTTACAGAAAAATAATTCCTCTTTCAATAAAGCGATTAAAGCGAACCATTCATCTAAAATTTATTAGATATTATTCTGTTTTCCTCTTATTTCAAGAGGATTTCCTCTACTTGTTATAGAATTGAAGTCGGAATGCATCTATCTATCCATCTATATATGTATATATATATATTACTTTTCGCTATACATTATAATTTTTTCAAATTAATCAGTATAACCAGTAAGAATAAAGTACAGTGAGAATAAATAATAATCCTCTTAAAAAAAGATTAAATAATATAAGAGGAAATTTATATTAAAATCAATCAGATTTACATTATACATATAACATATAATTCCTCTAACTTTAAGAGTAATGTATTTCTAATATTTTCCTCTTAATCCCAGAGGAATCCTCTTGAGGCCATGTATAAGAATAAAATCCTCGAAAATTTAGATGATTCCGCTTATTCTGAAATTACTTTTTTTTCCGAGTGCGAAACTTCACGAACGCCCAAATTCGTTTCTGGCAACGTCAGGACGCGAGTTTCACGAATCCTCAAGCTTTTTACTAAATTTCCAAGTCTTTTTATATATATATATATAGGATCCCAAGGTCTATACATAAAGAAGCAACCTGCGTGCTCATAGACGTTCCTCGCTTTCACCCTGTGATTGTACAAAATAGAGTCCTTTGTCTCTCGTAATTGTCACCGCGAAGCTAGCGCAATGACGGATCACCGCGCGTCAACGGCGTTTCTTCGCGAGTAACTAAATTCGAGATCGACAGTGCACACTTCGGAGGGACTCCTCGCAACAACCTAATGACATCGCGCGCGGAGAGTTATACCGGCGGCTAATGTACGTACAATACGCAGTGCGGATTTATCACTCTCGCTCGCTCTCCCATCTCTCCAATCACTCAGCATTACGCGTACCTTGGCGCATAGTTGCAGACATACATGTAGAAGTCCTTGCCGAGCGGACCCTTGCCGCCGGTGCAATGGCTCACTCCGCATCCGACCAAATGCGTCGTCGCCCACACCACCTGCGTATAATGGCCGACCTCGAGGACGTCATTCGTCGTATTGGCCCCGTACTTGAAGTCCTTGTACTCCATGTACCACATTCTGATGGGGAAGTTCCTGCAACGTTCCGACGTAGGACAATTCGGCGAACGATCTCGATTTCAGAAACGCTCATAGCCACCGCGCCCGCGCTTACACACGTTGTTTGCCGAGCTCTCGTCCTCGGTAACGTGTGCTATCTGTACGGATTCCGCTTGTAACTTGGCAAGTTTACGGCTCCGTGCTCTCATGACGAAAGAAACATGCCCCGTCGTCGGCGTCGTCGTGCGGCGCAATACTCGCGCTCGCGATCTTCAGAAGAAAGCCGATCGATGATGGCCCCTCTTGAAAACACCCTTGAAATTTTTTTCCCCAATTCTTCTATTTTTATAAAGCCCTCGTTGGGCGGAAAAATGCCGCGACGGTACCGCGACTCTGACCGTTTGAAATCTGCGTCCCACTTTAAAGCCGAGAAACTATAGAGATGTGCGAATCACGAATTTTTATGTCGAATCGAATCGAATCATCGAAAGTTTAACAAGACTATTAAACATGCAAATAATGATGGAAGATTTTAATATGAAAGGGAATATTGATATTGTAATATCATCTTAAAGTAAAATATATATATTTAAATATTTAAAGTAATTTATAATTAAGTTATTAATTATAAGTTAAGTGGTTCAGACAATACAGGCCCGGACGGCCCGTTTTGTAGCTGATGCACGCAAACGATAATGTATTTGATTCCTATTCGTATTATTCGGATTCAAATCATAGGGTTTCGAATTCGAATAGTTCGCACATCTCTACGAGAAACACGTCCCGAATTCACCGTCGCGGCCGGCGTCGTCGTGCTCGCGCTCGCGATTTTCGAAGAGAAAACCGATCGTAACCCCCTCGAAAACATTAAAAAAGTTTTTTTCCCAATTCTTCTATTTTTATACAGTCCTTATTGGACGAAAAAACTGCCGCGACGATACCTTTGACCGCCGTTCGAAATCTGCCGCGTAAACCACCGCTAGTGTCCACTTGAAAGCCGCCGAGAGGCTTTCATACGAACGTTCGCGCTTGAAATCTCCAATCCGACGCGCAAAATTTAGAATTTAGAACAACACACCACTGTGACATCCTTGAACGGCGCTGCGGGGATGAAATTCGCGCGTGTGGGCGACCTCGGCGGTTCCGCTTAATCCGCCGGGCGAAGTCGTTGACGCGCGTAACTTGAGCCGCGGATGACGCACGGTCGTCGCGCGACGAGGCAACTTTCACGCGTAAATAACCGAGCCGACGATTAAGCGATTAACGGTGCATCCAGTTGCGCGGACGGACCGCCGCATATTCCCGCGGAATAAAATCGCTCTCTCTCTCTCTCTCTCTCTCTCTCTCTCTCTCTCTCTCTCTCTCTCTCTGCCGGAGTTGCACCTGAGCAAATATACCAACTGCCGGCGCAAACTCGCTAACTAGAAGTAAACAAGATTTAATAATATCTCACCAGAGCGTGCGGCCCGTGCTGATGAAAATGTTTTGTCCACTCTGGCCGAAGCCGTCCAGGTACAAGCCGGTTGCATTGTCGTGCACTAAACCGAGGCAGCGATCGGCCCACCTCTGCGCCGCCTTCGCTAAGCCCGGATGCCATTTCTGAAACGGGGCAAGGGATTCGGAATTATCGGACATGCCCGAATAAACGACGCTTTATGGTTCACATGGTGTCTCGCGGAAACTCAGCGTCGCCACGGCAACGCGCGGCGGCGAGATATTAAAGGCCGGACCGGGGGAGGGGGGAGGGAATGTCTCGATGCCGCGGCGTTAATAAATTCAGAATTATGAGCACATCCGAAAAGAGAGAGACGGGGAAAAAAGTCCTCCCGGCGAGAGTTACGCGAGTCGGAGACTCTCGCTGAACTCTGGCTGCTGGGCTTTAACGGGATTCCGATGTGAGGAGAGATTAGTTAGCCTCTTTTCTCGGAGCGCGGTCCCGCTGTCGAAAATGAGTGAAAGTACCGCCGGGACCACTCGGGCTCGCAAGAGAGAGAGAGAGAGAGAGAGAGCAGAGCGAGTGTCCTGACTTAAAGTTCGAGTGGATTCCTCGTCCACTTTGGCTTTGAATTAGAACGTGCTGGCAAGGATTCCCGCTCGATTGGGGTCGAATTTGTGTCTGTGACGGCAAAGTCGTGAGATTTGGAGTCTTCAATTTCGGATGAAGATATTCACTCGAACGTCGAGTTCGGGGCGGTCGCTCGGTGCGAACGAAAGGTCACTCGAATTTCCACAGCAACACGGTAGTCACCGTTTCTCGGCCGGAATCTGCCTCGAGCTTGAAACTTAAAAAATGCGAAGACACGTTCGAGAGAGAGAGAGAGAGAGAGAGAGAGCGTTGAGTCCCGAGGAGATCGCGGGCGATTAAAATTTCGAGCTGAGAGGAAGTCGCGAATTTAGGGCGGGCCGAGCTCGGGGGCGATCCCCCTCCCCCCTCCGGCGATACGGTATAACGGTGGCGTTCGAAAAACGCTGGAAACTTCATTAGAGAATATGTACAACGATCGCAGGCATGCAACGGCGCAGTGGTGTTTACGAGCGCGGAAACTTGCCGCGCATCCCGCCTCGCGCGATTGTAAACTCGCGGCAGAAGTTTCGCCGCGCCTCCGTAATCACTCGTTATATGCAAATATCCCGCCTCCGGGACCATAGCGGCCCCCTCAGGGAGTTTCTCGCGAGGAAAGCTCCCGTTGCCTTCATATTTTTCTTTGCGCGAGACCGATAGCGCGAGTCGCGCAATTACACCGACGATCGCGCTAATTTTCCGTAGCAACGAGGCATGCTCGCGCGTTCGCTCGTGGCGGGAAAGGAGGAAAAGCGTCGGGAAAAACGCGAGCTGCCGCGATATTGCGTCCGGTATGTGGTCACATTAAGTCCGCGGTAAGAAGTCGGGATGTTCCCCCCGCTCCGTCGCGGGAGTCCTTAATCAGTTGCGCTTCTTGATTTATGCAGCTCAAGGAGACCGCCTTCTTGCTGCAGCGCAAAGTCGACGCTTCGAATTCTAACCGGTAGGGGGCGCCGCGCAATATTCCGCGCAACGCAGCGCGCGCGCGCGCGAAATTGCACGTTTCTCATTATCGCGCCGCGCCAACGTTCGCGGATGTTGAAAAATTCGGAGCGAGTCGAGCGCAGCTCGAATAATTAATGAATAATTCGCGTTTGAAGAATCGATCGCGCGCGCGGCGAGAGCCAACGAGACGGAGTCGCGGATCTTCGGTCATTCAAGCGGCGCTTGAGCCCTCGTGTACAATCAACGAGCGGAGCTCGGCTTTGCGTCGTGAATTCGCCGCCGAGCCGGATATCTAATTACGAGGCGATGATTAATCGCGACTTCCTCCGCTATCTCGCGCACCGCGACGCTCCTGCGGTTAATTCGCCCGGGACGAAGGGAGAAAGCCGCTTCACGAGCGCGATACGACACGGTGCGCCTCGCTGCTTCCTCCGCCGCCCATCGACGGCGGTTTCGTTCGCCAATAAAAAGATCCCCGATACCCCGGCCACCCTATGCTCTCTCCCCCTCCCCTCCCCCCCATCGACGCGAGAAAAGCCGCATCGCGGGCCCGAGTCTCGCCGCGAGAGAAGCTCCCCGGATAACAGTCGCATCTACGGCGTAACTCCCGCCGAAAGTAGCTTTTACGGTGCTACGTCGTCGGTAGTTTCCGCGGGGAAAGAATTTAAGTGGGAAGTCGTGTAACTTATAAGCAAGCTGCGCGGGGAGATTGGCGGCGCGAAAGAAACGACGGGTAAAAGGGGAAGAGACTCGGAGATAGTCTGACCACGTAGACACCCGTCCGCCGCCCGCGAGTGCCCGCGATGCCTCGAAGGAGAGAATCCGCGTGGCCCCGCGAATGTGCGATGAAATTCATGCGAAGTGTTCAGATCCGCGAGCGAGGCTCCTCGCATTCTGCGGGGCCGATGACGTCGGATTTGAGGGGGAGAAAGAGAGAGAGAGAGAGAGAGAGAGAGAGAGAGCTCGTTGTTATGATCGCGAAAAAAGGGAACCATATCGCGTTATTTTATCGTGTATTTATCCCTTTTCCCCGCGCTCCCCCCTCCCCCCCTCCCCCCGCCTCTCGCGTATCCTTGCTGTTTACTTGCACAAAATTAATTGGAACATATTTCCACGCCGCGAATTTATCTCCGTGAAATTATCGGCTGCGGTAAATATCGTGTTACAGGGCGTGTGAAACGCCCTGTATCAACGGAAACAACGGCTGATACGTAAAATAGAGCGCAACGATCGGCCGGGAGAAGGAGGGGGCGGAGTGAAGGGGAAGGGCGAGTGCTTGTATATAAATCGGATAATAACGTCGATGCGTCGGCGGAAATTGAAATCTCGCGGCGGGCGGGCGGACCTCGAAAATTCAGTTTTCTGATCAAGCGAGTCCTCGGCTGAGGGAAATCTCACGCGCGAGGTGCCTTCGACCAGCGCGATTCAACCAACGGACGCGCCGCGTCGGAACGATTGTGAAATGTCTCAGCCGAAACTAATCGAAGCGCTTCGAAGTCGTACCGATTGTATTCTCGCCGTCTTACCGTACTTCGTCGCGCAAAATGAGTCGAGGAGAGACGTGCGTCGCGCTGCCGCGGCGCTGTTTGCGGCCTCGCTAATTCCGACAATTTTCCCAGGTCGCGCGGGAAAGCGCAGGAAAGCAGCAGATAACGAGCGCTCTCGCCGCTTAATTTTAATCAGGCCAATTAACGGCGCGCGTTGTCTGCCGCGCCGAGTTGCCGAAAGCTCGAGTTAAGCGCTGCGCGCACGCGACCGCTCGCGACTGTGTTCCTGCGGTTCTTGCTGCGTCGTCGAGCCCGATTGCGTCTCCCGGCCAATCGCCGATCGTTTCCTCGGGGTCCTCCCGCGGAAAATTCACGAGGAACAAGCTGCACACCGAGTCTCTCCGTCGCGGTTTCCGATTTGTGTGTATGTATGTGTGCTCAGATAACGGCTTCGATATCGCCGCCGATGGTTCCCTTCGGAGACTCGGACGCCGCAATATTCGTTTGAGCGTCGCGTCGCGTTCCGGCGCGAAACTTATTTATCGTTGTTAATGGCGTTATGCAAAGTTTCGATTAAGATGGAAATTAAGTGGCGCGATCGCGATTAATCGGCCCCGGGGGAGAAGAACGGTCTATCGACTCGATATTATCGGGGCAATCGACGACGTTGCGATGGAGAGATGGAGAAAAGAGAGAGAGAGAGAGAGAGAGAGAGAGAGAGAGAGAAAAGTGGAGAAAGAGAGACGGGCAAGCGGCGCGGGAAGATTCCATCTCGGAGAGTAACGATATATTGTCAAAGAGATGCGAATCCGCGAAAAACGGCGGGACTTCAAAGAGACGGCGAAGACGCGACGGCATTATTCGGAACGGTACACCGTGAGAGAGATAGAGAGAGAAAGCAACGGTTTACGGCGCGAATCCTTCGCGAGTCCTCTCGAACCGCGCGAGGAAGATTCGCCTGGAGGACGATCGTATTCACGTGAAGGAGCAAGAAGACAGACCGGATTGCTCGGATCCTCTTTCCTCCCCTTTCCCCTTCTCCTTGTAATTTCGAACGTTAATTCAACACCGGAGGGGGGGGACGATGCTCGTCAACGATTCGCAGCCGGGATAAATTTGCCCCGAGGATGATCCGCGATCGCGACCACCGCAATGGAGAGCCGCGAGTACGCGCGAATGCCTCCGTCTCTATTTATACCTGCGATAAAATTCTCCCCCCGGCTTCCCCCGTGTATATATCACCGCGACGCGAAAACAAAAGCCGTCGCGCGGGCTAGATACAACAATGACAAGTATACGAGAGCTCCTCTCCCCGCCTATCGGACTGCTCGCCGCACCGCGGAGCGCACTGTAACGCGCCGCGGAAACGACGGCGCGCGCGCACAAAAAGCAGGCGTTTGTGAAATATCGCGATTGTGACCTCCGATGAAATTTATAGAAAGGTGGTTATCGCGACCGCGCCAAGGTGAACGTCCCTGTCGAGCCGCTCACCCCTCCCCCCTCTCCCCGCATGCTACGGCCTCGTGAAAGCAATTTTACTTTGATGCTCGGAATCGCGCGCGCGGCGTCGATCGACGCGGAAATGGGATGTATCGACTTCGTGTTTCCGCGCGCGAGAACGCTCTCTCTCTCTCTCTCTCTCTCTCTCTCTCGCCTTTACACTCTCTCAACGCTCTCTCGCGCGGCCGGCTGACGCGCGTCCGTCTCGTTGTAAGCGCTATCTTTCGAAACTGTCGATCGGTTAAAGCCGCGCGCGCGGCGCTTCGCGCCTCCGCGCGGACCGTGATGAGCTCCTCGTGAACTCGTTTGCGGCGGACCCACCTTTTATTTCGCTCCGCCTGTCGATCTGGCTATATTTCTCTCCTCCTCCTTTCTCTCTCTTTCTCTCCGACTCTTTCTCTCGTTCCTCCTTTCCCCGTCGCTCTCGTCAGATTTATATGCTTGTATGCGCGAGATAGGGAATCGGAGCAGGGAAGATCCAGCGCGATTAAAACAGCTCGACGTCGGGCTGTGATTTATCGAGCGCGTGACCATTAAATATCCCGAAAACAATTTTTTCCTTGCCTCTTGGCGTGTGTAGAAGGGCTGATTAGAATCGGAAAGGAGAGGGGATGTGGGGAGTGTCTGGAACACCAGCGGGTGAAATTCCAACAGAAGTCTCCGAGAGGCTAACTCGAGATGGACATTTCCCCCGGAAAAATTTGACATGGACCGGACGCTCCGCGTCGTCTCTCCCGACAGTCCCTCGTCGGGTTCCAACGAGGTCGCCTGACGAATTCGAAATCGTGAAATTTCGATAAGCAGGTCATTCCACGCAGTGGTATTCCGAAGTAGCCTACGTAACGGTCTCCGCGCCTAGAGGGTTGCTTTTTCGCCGCGACGATTTAATAGAGAGAGAGAGAGAGAGAGAGAGAAAGAGAGAGAGAGAGAGAGAGTCGGCCGCCGGTGTCTCGAGGCCGGCGCGACAAGCCGACGCTGCGAGCGGCGGGTAAACGCCTTGTTAAGAGGAGAATACGAATGGAGTTCTTACCATGACGAGCATGTTGGCGGCGGTTGGCTTGACCTGCGTGCGAAAATAATTGTGGGTCTCCACAATCTTCTGCCGCACTTTACTGCTGCTGGTCCTTATTAACCGGATGGGCACCCGGTCGCCGTACAGTCGCGGCGCTGGAAACAAAAAGGAAGAGACCACCTTCCAATAACCGACATCTGTCGCCCGACGAGAGTCGCCCGGCGAGCTCTCGACGACTCCATCCCCGCTGCCGCTGTCTCTTCTCCCCCTCCCCCCTCGGGGAGGACGGGGTGGACAAAAGGGAAGCCTTGACCGGAACGAGCGAGGATCGAACGATTACATTTCGCTCGCCGGCGAGCTCTTTAAATCGGGATACAATGCGCAATGTGTATAGGGATGAGGCGGAAGAGGTGGGCGGAGGGGTGGGAGACGCGGAAGTTCGTGACTCTTCCCGGGCGGTGTAACCCCGGGGCTCGCTGAGGCGATCGACTCGTCTTCTCGACGAGAGCGTTCCTTTAATATATCGAATCAAGCCGTCGACTCCCGTGACTTCCGTCTTTCTTTGCGTCCGGCGGAAATTCATTTCCTGAAATACTCGCCGCCAACCGGAGCCCGGCGTGATGAATATTCGTCGTTATCAACAACGGTTTATGATCGCCGGCCGATAAGCGGCTTATCGATACTCTTTCCGCTCTCGGCGGCGCGCGCGGAGAGACGTTCTTTGTCGGCGGTTTTATTTATGACTCGAGCCGAGATGGAAAGACGGGAGCGCCTTTCCGCCGTCAATCCGCGACTCGCGTAGTCGCGATTCCGATCTCGGATGCGCGACTTTCCGATCGGCCCGACAGCGACGTGTGTATTCTTCCGTCTTCGTTTTTCCTCCGCGCGGATCTCTCGCGGAACATCAGCTCGCGGTGGTGGCCGCGCGGCGAAACAAGCGCGCGCGTCCTCCGCAATGGCGAGCTCCGCAGCTCTCCCGATCGGAATCGATTTTCCGCATGCTCGCGACGCGACCCGCTCTCGTCAGGAGCTTTCCGATCGTTTCGGGAATCCGAATGTCCGTGATGGGATAACGCTTGATAAACGTTCCGCGGCGTTCCGAGCGAGAATACCTCACCGAACGTCTACACGATGGGCTCCCTGACCCGTATAATGTAACGCATCTCTCGAAGCAGCCGAGTACGAAGGCTCGCCGTGAAACTTCACGAACTTCCATTTCTTAGACATGACGCGCGCTCTCGGGGCGCGTGCGGCCCGGGCGAGCGGAAATCCGAGGACGGATGTGATTCGAGGGTACAACGGATCGCGCGGTGTCTCGCGGCTCAAAAGTGCGACACGACGGCGCGGCGTCATTTGCATTATGTGCCGCGGCATTTCCGCTGTCACATCCGCTGCAATCCGCGATTCCCCCAAGGATGTGCTCGAAAGTGTTTATTCGTTAGGAACACCGGGAGAACTCGCGACTCTCGTCGCACGCAGCCAAGGCACGTGGAAGCCCGTCTAGGGGTGCCAACTCGGCTCGGTTTTGACCCGGACTGTCAGGTTTTCAGAAGTCTTGTCCAGTGTCCGGTTAACGAGCTAAACCGGATGTCATATGTCCGGTTTTTAAGTTATATCCAATCGATGGAGTGAGAGCTCAGATTTTAGCAACTCCGTTCTCCGTTTCAGGCGCCTACAAACGATCGAGCGCCACGAAGAGCCATCTAGTAGATCTGCCGATCTGCCGATCCGTCATTCCATATATATATTAAAAAAGTAATAGTTTATTGTTTTATTCAATCAAATCTTGTTTATAAAATTGTTTGGAAATTAATATTGCAAATAAATGCTTGTCATATTTTGTCATATTTAATGTAACGTTATGATTATTAATTCTGTTTAATCCGCCTTGGGTTTGTTACCAAGGAAGTGATGTCCGGTAATTTTAACTTTTGGATGTGGCTGGCAACCCTGATAAGCTCCTCCCGACGGTGGGCTCTTCTCTCAATTCGGCCCTTTTTCTTCTAATTGTTAATAAGACTCCTGATTGTTAAGATTAATAAGAATTGTTAATAATTGTTGATGCCTCTAACGGCGAGAATGAACTAATTATTCAAATAGAACACTCTTCGCGTGGAGAATCTTTCCCCGCAGAATAATTTTGTCTCTCGTTTGAAGTGGGAAGCAATGAACTAACCACTCGGCGATTCTAATCGAGTTCCCTTCTGCTCGCGATAAATGCTGTTCAAATATAACGTCACTATGCGGTAAACCGAGATAGAGGGGGGAATTTATTAGGGTGGATGTTGTCGTTGTTGCTAACATTAACGCGAGTGATTGTTACGCGTGCGAGGCAGCTTCGATTGTTTCCGGCTGCGAGACGGTCGGTCTTCCTCAAATCGGCCTCTTTTAACGCGACTTACTTCGGGAATTTCGCATTTTCCGCGATAAATTCGCGAGCTGCTTATTAAGGGATGTTTACTCACTGGGTTTGCTTCTGTGAATTTTCCGCGGCACAGCGGCTGGCAGAGCCACAGCTATCAAGACGATTATCCAGAGCCACTTCATTGTTTCCGTACAAGAGCTGAGAACATTAAACAAAGAGAGTCATTCAATATCCCGGCTATTCGTAGTAAGAAAAAAGAAACACACACACACACATAAAAGTGGAAGAAGTGGAGGGAGAAAAACTGTCCGTCCAAACTTCCTGATAGCGTTGAAGAATTCAAAAACGACAGAGGAAAGTTGCCGCGAGGCGCGGAGAACAATCGGAGGGGGGGGGATGTTTCCGTTCTTTCGTATCATAACGATCGGGAACGAGGAGCTTCTCACTCGCGCGCGCGCGAGAAGTTATCGAAATTTCACGATTCCCGACTCGTCGAAGGCGACTTCGTTGGCGAAGCCGACGCGGCCGCGAAATTTTCGCACGGCAAATGTCCGTCTCGAGTTCGTCGGAGACGACTCCTGTTGGAACTCGACTCGCCGGTGTTCAGACACCCTTCCCCCCTCCCCCCCCCCCGCTTCTAACGACCCTTTCTGCACACGCCAGGAGGAAAATTGTTTTCGGGATACTTGATACAATAATGACACAGCGGCGTCGCGAATAGGCTGCAGACTCGCCCGTTCGACTTCGCGCGGACTTCGCCGGCAGCGGAAGCCGCGCGCGAAGCGAGATCGTCGTGTCAGCTCGGGCGTGACGCGTGGAAGAGAGGAAAGCACATCGGGGAGTCTATTAGAATTCCCGTCGAAGAGAGCGATCTCTTTTAAATCGGCGAGAAGAAAGCGACGAATAAAGTTGGCGCGCGTATTTCTTTTCTTTTTCCGCTGTCTCCCTTTTTCTTCTTTTTTTCCTCCACCCGTATACGACTGCACAGCTCGATCGTTCGTGGCTCTCCCCCCCCCCCCCCGCGATCTCGTTACTCACTCGGCCAACGGAACTTTTCCGACACGGCGCGCACACATGCACATGTGCGGCGCGGCGCGGCGCGACACGACTTTCCCACCTGTGTGCGGCTCATTAATCACCATTCGCCTCGTCAGCGGCGAATTTCATTATTTCTCGCCCGTGAAACTAGGTGTCCACGGGGCCGCGACGTTATCAACCTCCCGCCGGCTATCAACGGCCGACAACGCCGGCGCTGTCGTCAATAGCAGCGCGTGCGAGCGCGCTGGTAAACGTCAAAGGCAAATGGCACGTACGAAGACAGATTACGTTTGAACGTTATTCGCATTCGTTACTAGTCGCGAGCCCCCGGGCTGCCGCGGAATCGGATCTCCCGGCGCAACAATAAAATGCTCGCAATTAAGTGCGCTCGGCGTGGCGGCCGCGATTTAGTCCGTGTGTTTTCCAGTCGCCGGGAAATTTCACCCTGCACTCGGGGATTTGCCGGTTGGCCGGAATCGTCGGGCCGTTTCGCGGTCGGATGTTCGGTCGGATTGACTGAAATCGTTGATCGCGTGTGTTGCTGAGATAAACGCCTCGCGATGATGGTGAAACCTAAACTGAGGTCGCGGCCGCGAGATTACTTGATCTTTGCATTGATTGATTCGTTCGAGGTTACTTAATTTCCGTGACACTCGACCGATTCAATCGCGTGATTTCCCGAGCAGAAAATTGTTAGGGCCGTCCTCGTGAAGCATAAGGCCCCGATAAGGCTGAAAGTAGGATGCCCTATTCAGACCCCAAATCAGACCCCGAGATGGATGGATCCCCTTCAGGGATACCTTTTACGAAAGGTAAGGCTTTGATAAGGAAAACTGATGAAGGCTTTAGAAAGATTGATTAGGGATGTCTTAGATTTAATAAATAAGGCTTTGATAGGAAAAGCTGAGAAAGGCTTTAGAAGGATTTTTTACGGTTGTCTTAGATTTAATAAATAATAAGGTTTTGATAGGGAAAGCTGAGAAAGGCCTTAGAAGAATTTTTTAGAGATGCTTTAGACTTTATGAAATAACGCTTTAACATGGAAAATTGGTATAGGCCTTTTAAGAGAGAAGGATCTTTTAAGAGAGAGAGAGAGAGGATGCTTTAGATATACAAAATCAAGTTTTGTTATAGAAAATTAATAAGATCTGAAACATACAATAAAATTGTTATAGTATTGTTTTAGTAGGTACGCTCTATCTGATTCTTTTAAAGATTTTTTAAATATACCGCAATAAAAACAAATTTTATTAGTTTTATCAGTTGCCGTATTCATTAGTCTTTTTCAAGGATTTTTCTAGTATTGCCTTCGTTTTGAAATGTAGCAAACTTTAATAAAAACAATAGCAAGATTTTTGTGTAAAGAATGCTATATTTATTGTAAAGCATGCTATATTTAAAAAACAAATTCTTGTTGTATACTAACACTGTTATAAAGAAATAAAGAAATTACAGTTTAAATTTCTTGGAGTGAAAAGAAGGAATATTTTTACTCAAGCAATAATAAAAATATTTCCTGATAAAGCCCTATTAATATTGCTTTATAAAGACCATCTGTTAGAAATCTTGTCTTTTTATCCCTATTAGGGCCCGATTAATGTTAGGGAAAAATAATCACGCCTTTAATAGAGCCTTATTAATTTTTTTACTCGGGTTATTGGAAGCTGAAATACGCATGAGAATTTATCATTGATATACAAAAGACGCGATACGAAAATTCACTATTAATTTAGCAGACGGTAAGACAATGAACCAGGAATATCCGAGGCATCGGAAATGCTCGCCCCAGTTGTGTATTTTCCCGACTATATCTGAACCCAACTGACTATGCGGACAAAATGGGAGCTCGTCCATTTGTAGCGATTGTAAGGTATAATTTGGGCGAAATCAATTCTCGACTCGCAGGCCGCGCATGTCTTCCGTCGATTATATCGCACTTTCAGTCTCGCGAACGCGCCCGGGAAATCGTTTTCTCACCGTGTCGAGCTTGAACGTCGCCTAATAAATCGCCGCGGAAATATAATTCGCCTAACGCCCCGACGCGTCGCCGCCGGCTTTCAGGCCGGGAGCTTAGCGCAAAAATGTGCAAAAATCGCGGGAGCGCATCTGCATAGTCAAATAAGGCGAGTTTTAATATCCGCCCTCAGCCTCTTTAAATGATGAGGCCAAAGTTCGCATATTCCCCCCTCCCCCCCCCCGTCTGTCCTACATGCGAAGACTTTGAGGACCTCGCGGGGGGATCAAAGGAATGCAAAAAGGTTCGACCAAGCCGAACGACATCAAAGACACATTTTGTCTTCCTTCGGTCCCGCGCACATTCTTACCAAGTCCCGCCGCGCTTTTCCCTCTACTTTTTGAAAGATCCCCCGTCTCGCGAACGAAAGTTCTTCTCCGACTCTCCCTCCTTGCTCGTCTCACAGACGAGGCGTATGCAAAACAGTTTAAGACGGATGATACATATGGATGGCCCTTCGTACGTTCTTGCCGCCGATTAGATTTTGATCGCCCGGCCTTGAAACGAGAGGAACGAGAGAGAGAGAGAGAGAGAGAGAGAGAGGTAAGCGTGTCCGTTTGCCCGATGCGACGCTGTGAAACGTTAATATGCCGAAATTAACGTCAACAAGTCCCAAATGCTCCGTGCTCGATTTTATTACGTTTCATATTTTCGCGTTTTTTGCATTCGTTACGCTTTTGTATCTTTTATTACGTTGTTGTACCTCGCGTTCGTTTTAAATCCGTTATATTCAATGGAGTGTTGTATGAGCCGGGATGCATTTTCACCGCTCGAGCTTTGCGCAGCGTGCCTGCGCTGTTTCCCTCTCTCTCTCTCTCTCTCTCTCTCTCTTTTTTTGCTACACCACAAGGCTCTCGACGTGACGAATTCGAGCGAATGTCATGAGATTCCGCGTGTCGCATTAAAATCGTAGCTCGCGAAATCCACGGCGAGCGCGCGCTATCGACTTCTCGCCGCTTCTCTCAGATTGGAGGGAGGTCTCGCTAATGCGAGCTGACCAAACATTTGGAATTTGGCACGGGCCGGTACTACGTATTTGCTTCGACACACTAAGCACACGACGTGCGGATGCTCGAGTTGTAATAACTATTCGCAATTTTGTCGAACGCTGGCCAGTTGCGCGTGTTTGCGCGGCAAACAAAACGACGCGACTGATAGGGCGGAGTTCTGTCATTCTTCGCGAATTTCTCGGAAACCGTTGCTGCAACGGACCGCGGCTAATCTTTACACGATCGCGCTTTAGCTCGTGATTCAACGGAAGCATTTTGACACTTCTGCGTATGCATCTTCTCCATTTGTAAAGCCGGACTTTGGACTCGCGGCTGTTTTTTCCAATCAGAACGTAGTACGTACCAAAATATTACGTGTTGCGTTATAAAAGGCACGTTATTTATCGGGAAGCTTCGCGTTTTGTTTTGTTTCTGCATTAGCCCCGCGAGAGCTCCCCGTCAAACTTTTGTCGAGCAAATGGAAAAAATGGAGCGTTCGATGCTACGAATTTTCTCTCGATTGTTCACCGTCGTTTTGCAGCCATGTTCAGCTCTGTGGAGATTTATCGTCTCGAGTTATTTTTAATATTCGATTGTCTCCATGCTTCATCTTCATTTAATCTCTGCTCGTAATTTCATTGAATAATCGTGACATGACTTTACTCGATTGCGGATGGAACATGTGAGATGAGCAAATGTATTAAATAACCAATATGAACGAAATGATGAGATTATAAATGACAAACAAGGATTTTTCTCTGTTCTCAGGAGGGTTCTGGCGATTCCAAGAAGGTGAAGATGAAAGGCAATTCTAGCAGCGACTGGCGCGATTGGTGGTGGACCACGCGCATCAGTGAATTAGTTGACTTTTGAAACACGTATTTTATGGGACTCCCGTCGGTATCGCATTCAGTGCCTATGTTTTCCCAATCAATTTGTGACTACGCGAGTGCTAGTGTCAGTGCCAGTGTTAGTGTCAGCGTCATGACGGAGCATCCGGGGCTGTCGGCAACAGGATGCTGGATCCGGAAGCCAGGACAGAGGACGCAGGATGCCGGTCGCGAGCAGCAGCACGTCGTATATTTCCAAGTATGTCAATCGTTTATTATATGGCATGTTTTCGATTTTAACGAGCGATTTTGACGAATTTATCGAAGGCACGAGAGGCGTCCCGAGTCGAAATTTGGACTGGCATTCGTGACTCGTCGTCATTTGGCAAATTATTGTAGTCTTGTGTTGACGGGAATTTCGCGTCGACAGTAAATAACGATTTTCGATTAACTGTCAATCTGAAACTATATTTATTTTACACAACGGGAGATATCGAATCTTACGAACACGAAACTGCGACTAATAATATCGTTCTCGATGAAAAGTCATAAGTAATTTACGTCTACGAATGCCAGTCTAAGGATGTATTGAAAATTCTAAAGATGTTGCTTCTAATAATGCTCCTTGAACCGCCAGTCGCTCCTTATTTACATCTGTCGATAAACTGTTTCCGTTTATCATCGCTGTTATTAGAGCTATTTCAAATCTAGATTTCGATTGGCAGTTTTACACAGCATTATTGGACATATATAACTGCTATCTTTATCTTTACAATTTCTTTACCAGCTGTTTTAAGAATTTCAAGTCTTTGAAATTCTGCCAGCGTCGACAAGAAGAAGAAACAAAAGAATTATGAATAAATAAATTATGTCAATTTATTTACCCCTATCAGATCCATCCGTACCCCATCATCCGTCTGTATTAATTATTTAATATTTACTTATCTCGCATTGTCATGCGACTAATATATTGCTTATAACAATCAAGAATACAGAGTAACGTAATTGAAACATCGAGATAACGGAATATTAAATAATCCTGAAGCAAGTTTTGCTGCAAGGCCGAGCACAGAGTGCAACAATCTGTGGCGTCAAGGTAGGACAATAGCCTGTACAGTGTGTCACATCTCGACATTCTCCATTGGTCCCTCAAGTTCGTCGGAATTTGCAGGATCAACGCGGAACCAAAATTTCGACTCGAGTTGTCTCGTGCATATTCGCGTGTACGCTACAGTTGCGAATATATCGAACAATACGTATAAATTATATACACGTATATAAATGAAACAATATCGAGATAAAGATTTCTCGATAAAGAATCAGATACATTTTATGACATTTGAACCCGCCATGATTTTCACTGGCGAATTCGTTGCTACAAATTTCCGTTCTGCACGACACGTCCATGACGAAACGTCGCTGCGCAGAATGAGATGTAAATTTCATATTATAACACACTTAATAAATTTTGCCAACCGCTATGCTGGTATCTATTTCTCTCTCTATATGTATACAGGGTGTTCTAAAGAAAGCGAGCTAGCTATATGCGATTATATTTTTCTCAACGAGACTATCGAACAAATTTCTATAAACACAGAGCCTAAAATGTTTAGTTAAAAAGTTCAGATTAAAGTTTCAAAAATAAAGAAAATTTAATAAAAGAAAAATTGAAGGAAGCGTTCAAAATATCCATCACACGTGAAGCGATACAATTCTGAATTCTCGGCAGCAAAAACTGTCTTGCGCGTTCAAACACTCCTGGAGTATTGAGTATCGCACGCGCGCCGCGGCGCAGCGTCCATCTTCCGCTTCTCGTAAAAGCTCCCGTTCGTCGTCAGTCGTCGAAAACGAGCAAACAATAATTTTCAAACATCTCTCCACAGACATATACAATAAGTATTACTGTGTGCGTATTACAACATTGAAATGAATTTTTTTAACCATGACTCGGCCATAACTTTCCGACTGCTGTTTTTCATACTTGTTTACAGGAACTTGTTTGTTCGTCCGGATGAGAAAAAACGCAATCGCACGGCGGCCGAAGCACCCTTTTCGCCGAGACACCCTGTGCATATACATATACATAAGACACATTGCGGCGAGTATTATTCCAAAATTACGCACTCCGACACAACGCGAGGCCGTCCCTTTGCCGGCGCGCATATGCACAAGCGACGTTCATTGCCGGGCCGCGGGTTAAAGCGAGAAACTCGACGACATCAGAGTAAATTCTGCATTTATTGCGCGTTTGATGCATCGCGTTGCAGATGGATATAGTTTATTCTAATGGGAGTGCGGTGCGCGCGCCTTTATGGCGTATAGCACAGCGCCAGTAGTACGAATACGAGTAGAGGTCAGCCCGGCGCGCGCGCGTTGCCGCGACCGCAGCAGTCGTTTTCGCCGGGAGCGTTTACCCGAAAGCCGACTTTAGCCGACTTTCGCACGATCGCCGCCTCGTCGTCCTATCATTTATTCATTCTTCTATCACCACATCACACTTGTCGCCGCCGGCCTTCCCTCCACCCTTTCTCTTCGCCGCCCTCCGCCGGGGCTGAGTTTAACTTTATTTTCGTAGGCTGGTCAAAGTCCGGGGACAGCCCGAGGATCTCGCATCCCGTTTCCAAGTCGCAATTAGCATGCTTCGCGTCAGCCCCGTGCGAGCGTGTGTGTGTGTGTGTGTGTGTGTGGCTTCGTCGCGCTAACGACGGAGCCGCGAACGAGCGGCGAGCTGCGTGAATCGAGCGGTAACGATTGAGTGCGGCCGCGAGCGCACGGCGCGCGATGTCCGCACCTCGTGATCCCGCGTTCGTTAGTTAATTATTGCGAGACTCATTACACACCTGGCGTACCGCGCTCCGTGCCCGGGAATAAAGGGGAGCGCGCGCGCTCCTTTCACGACGAGGGTTCAGAGGAGGAGCGCGCGGCGGGGGCTCGTCAATAATTCAGAGGGAATTTCCGTGGGCGGCGGATAAGCTCGGACGCGGCACTGCATTTAATTTGCAACAAAGTCCACCGCGCGCAGGACGACGACGACGACGACGACGACGACGACGACGACGTGCGTGCGTGCGTGCGTGCGAACGAGCGAGCGAGCGAGTTGCGTCCCGTGAAACATGCAGCGCGCAATATCGGCCACGTGTAAATTGCTCATAAATATTTTCACTTAATTTCGCAAATCGAGCTCGACATCGCGCAGCCGACATCCGACGGCCGGCCGTCCCGTCGTAACGCCCGTTTATAATTGAAGCCGTAATCGCGAAGTACCCGACGTGGCCCGACCGTGGCAACGAGATTCGAAACGCCCGCTACGAGCGAGACGCGCGATTCAGTCGCACTCACGTTCGTCGATCAGAGTGACGTGTCTTCTTTTTTCTCCCTTCCGTTACGTCCAGTGTCGAATTAAGTCAATTATAGCGCACCGCGAATCGACACATCTCTTCGACAGGTTTTCGCAGCGTCGGCGACCCAATCCGCGTCTTCAGGGGGATGAAACGCGCTTGCCGCATTTGTCGATTTCATTTGGTACTTTGTCGCAGAAGAGATTGTGTTTCGGCGAATATATCACGCTGAAAGCATTATCGAGGCACTCGTCAATACGTACGTTTCAATTTAGAATTAATTTTTAAAATCTTTTAAAATTACTTTTAATTGTTTAACATTTCGATCCGCTTTTGAATAAAATATTACGACTATATTGCAAATAAAATATTACGACTGTATTACGAATAAAAGATTACGAACGACTATATGCAATTTGTTAATGGCATATAATTTGCTTTCTGATTGGCCGCGCGTCAATTGCCCCTGTTTGCACGCGATTAAGATCGATCAATTGCTTTCTCACACTGCAACATCGCACTGCGGTGTTTGCGACAATAAGCGTTAAATAAAAATGTCATCTCGATCCCGTCCGTCTCACGTCCACTGATTAGTTTTTCAACAAATTTCACCCGGACAGCTGGCACTCGCGCGCGAAAACATGCCCCGAATGAATCTCGGAATCTCGCGAGTGCGAAACCAGGAGCGAAAATACCAGGGACGCGTATATTTTTATATCTACGGCGATCAGAGCTTTTTTCGATGCCTCCATCAGCTCTGAAAATATTCGATTCCGATCGAAGCGATTCTCAAAGCGATCGGCAGGATGACGCCAAATATAAACAACAGAGAAATATTCGAATCTCTCTCTCTCTCTCTCTCTCTCTATCTCTATCTCTATCTCTCTCTCTCTCTCTCTCTCCCATATACGCACACACGCACTCGTCTAATGTGTAAAGAATTGTGTATTTTTTCTATGTTTGTACTCAAAGCTCGCTATTCTCTTTTGCAACGCAGTTGACTACAACGCGACAATTACGGTATGATAATAATAATTGTAACATGAGGTAGCTGAACGAAGAGTCATTGGACGAGTCATTAAGCCGAAGCTGCCTGGCACTACATTATGTAACTCGCAGAGCTCTCTCTCTCTCTCTCTCTCTCTCTCTCTCTCTCTCTCTCTCTCTCTCTCTCTCTTTTTCCTCTCTCCCTTCCTATCTCTCTTTCTCTCTAAATATTAGTGCAATACGTTTACGTCGTTTGCTTCCCTCGTTGTGCGACACAAAGATCGAATTACGAGGCCGCAAAAGACCTCTTTGACTCTCTGCGTCGCGGTCGGAAACGGGAAACTTTATCGATAGTTCCGCATTCCTCGCCATTAAACGCGGCTTTCGCATTCAACTGAATCCCGAAGTATCTCACTAATGGGTACACTCCGGCTTTTGTGCATTCAACTCCGAACGAATCGTCACCACATTGCCGTCGCGACATTGCAACTAACGAACGAAGGTATAAATCGAGCCATATTCGCTCACTCCATATCATCCTCCTCCTCCTTCCCCTGCTTTTCCTCCTCTCTCACTCACTCTGTCTCTCCCCCCCTTTCTCTCTCTCTCTCTCTCTCTCTCTCTCTCTCTCTCTCTCTCTCTCTCTCTCTCTCTCTCTCTCTCTCTCTCTCTCTCTCTCTCTCTCTCTCAGTTCCCTTTCCTCGACAACGATTCTTTTTTTTTGATTTCAATTAAACGAAAGTAACACGCACGCAATACAAACTGCAATCCGACCTGCAATCTGAGGCAGCAAAGCTGTAAAAGGTTCGGAAACCTGCGATTGCGAAGCATTGTGTGGCGTATATTGGAATATCATTCCGACGGCTGCGGCTATCGAAATTGCAAAACGATTTTGATCTCGCGGATTATTTTCCGTTGAAAACGCGAATGAAATCAATTTATATCCCTGGATGGGGGAAGAATGTATCGCTCCTCGCGTGAAAAAAAAATATTGTGTAATACGAGACAAATAAAGTGGACGGGAGATTCGCACGCGAATTACGCGAAGGGGGTATCAAATATGAATCGCGCGTAATTATGGAAATCCTTTCGACGTTTATTATAATACGCCCATCTGGGTGTATCGCGAATCGCGCGAATGAATCCACAATTCCCGGCGGATCGGCGAAATCCTTGCAGAGAGAGAGAGAGAGAGAGAGAGAGAGAGAGAGAGAGAGCACGCTCCAGATTCGGGGAATATAGAATTTTATTTGCGCGAAGTAAAGTTGCGTGAATAAATTTGCGCAATAGAATTAAAATGTTATATAGACG